CCATCTCTGAGGTCTGAGTGGGCGCCTGGCGCCAGTTTGCTGCGCAACCTGTTTGCATACGTGTGAAGTGTGAATGAATGCGAGTCTGATTGCACATCATTTCCCAGTGACGCTACAGCAACAGGCCGACCGAGTACTTGGTACATTTCGCCTATCGTAGCGGACCGATGATTGACCCGTGCGGAACTTCAGGCAACAGCTCCCGATGTTCTCACACGTTACGAACGCAAGTTACAAGCCAAGCTGGTACCTTCGGCTCCACATCATACTCGCATCCAGGTTCCACCTTTGGATCGTCAGCTTCGCCCTCGACCCAGCTTGACTTCATAAGGAGGGGGGGGGGGGTACATGATGAGGCTGCACACGGGCCCCATTCCCGGAGCCTGATGGTTGCTGAGGGGCCCCCAGGCCGCAGGTTCCGATTACAGGCAGCATTCATTTATTCATTTATTTATTTACTTATTTACTTGTTTGCTGTTCTATTTTTGTCTGTGCAGACATCGTTTCGGACTTGCAGGCCCCAAGTCTACACCTTGGGCTGGGTACACAGGGGCAGGGCCGTTTTTAGGCCAGGCGCGTTTTTGCGCCTTTGCTGCATCAGCATAATGGTCTGGACACCCGGCAGGGGCCCAGATCGAGTGGGCCATTTGAGGCCAGCATCAGAGGCATGCCCAGCCAGGCCCAGTGCTACTTATAGCTGGGCTACGGATGGGCACACAACACAGTTGATGTAGCTCACTTCTTGGGCGACACGCTGCTGGAGCAGCGCGTGAGACAGCGCTGCGTTGGAGTTAAGAGGTAGAGGAGTAGGTAGGGAGACAGGGCGGAGGCCATACCTGCAGCGTTCGAGTACGTACCTGGGCGCCATAGCTGGACTTGGCTCCAGTGACCTGCAGCACAGCGTACGCCGGCGACGTCAGTACTTGGCAGCAGTTACCTGCATGTGAGACAGTGAGGAGGACGGCATCATCTTCTTCTTCTTCTATCTGTTCTTGCCGTCCACCTCCTCTTCTTCCTTCTTCTTCTTCTTCTTCTTCTTCTTCTTCTTCTTCTTCTTCTTCTTCAGAGAGAGAGAGAGAGAGAGAGAGAGAGAGAGAGAGAGAGAGACTTCAGGCAGACGTTTCGTGGGCATACACCCAGGAACTGATTCGACACTTTAGCGGCAGACATTGATTGGACACTCGGCAAGGGACTATTTTTTTGGACTTCGCTATCGCGATCTTGGTCTTCTCCCTCGCCTCCATCTCCATCTCGCCTCCCCCCGATCTGTCGTCCGTGGTATCTCCCCCCATGTGCATGTGCAAGAGGGACCGTTCGTCCATGTATGAGGTCCCTCCTCCCTCTCTCACATGATGGGGTGTCGCGTCAGTATCTGACAGGTCAGGTCATATCTTTGAGTCTTCTGTTGCGCGACATTCTGCTGTGTTCATATGTATCTGGATGTACATTGCTTCTTGATGCTTGGCTGACACGGCATTGTCCTTACGAGTCCTTTTCATCACTTTGCGGATCCTTGGCTCCCATACATCGCCCGATTGGGCATGTATCAATGATCCCCTCCTTTCATCTCAACATGGTGATGATGTCTGTATGCAGCCCATCTTGAGCTTAACGAGTCAGATTGCTATCTTTTCTGTCTTCCGCTGCTTTGCATTGTTGTTTCCCATCACATTGGTTGTTGTGATTCTTTTGTTTTTCCTTTTCTTTTCCTCTCCTTTTTAAAGGGCGACGGCTTCAAGATATCATCATGGAACTGGCCTTCCCCAGGTGATTCATTCTAGAATTGCATTCATTCCGCTGGGACTCGAACGTAGGTGTGCATTTCAGCAGTTCATGGGTGTACCAACTGAGGATCTGTGCATGCCTAGACGTTCACTATTTATAGGCATGTGACAGGAGCCTACCAGCCCCAGGTCTAACACGGACTTGCTGAAAAACTTTACCAGCCGCTGCTTAGTTGATGTTTGTCCCAGTAGCTACAAATCATGCATTTTCGTCGCTGTGTGAATCGCAAAGATCCTGTTTTTTGCGGTCTAGTCCGTGTCCGAGCCCCAACCTTGTATGTGGACAACGGAAGCAGTAAGTGCACACAATATTTACCCCCCTCTCAGACTCGTTGGTTATCGGAAAATGCTCGTCCATGCTCCCATTGGTAAAGCTATCAAGTCCCATCCTCGTGGGTGTGTTTCTTTTTTTTTTTTTTTTTGAATCACAACCGAACCAACTTGACCCAAGTATAAACGAGCTCTGACAAACTTCTTGTTGGTGTGTGTCAGTTGGAGTCATTGATCAATCTCTTAATAGATTGCCAAGGAAGGCAAGTTGCGGATAATATTGCCGAAGGGTGGGGATGGAACTCCTCTTCAGCCTAATGATTCTGAACACGATTCTCGTTGTTCGCGGTGTTGCAGGCTAAGGCAATAATGGTGTTGGCAGGTGCAAGTACGTGGTCAGCGAGCTCGTTGGTGCCTTCAGACATGGCCCTGTCTGTTCCCTCATGTGCAGAAGGTGGTGTGGCAATGTCCAATCCAGGAGGTAATGGCAATGGGGTGGCTGTGTCTAAGGGCAACGTGAACCCCATGCAAGGGCACGGAACTGGGACCAACCCATCTCATTTGCCTGGTGTTTCTAGTTCATGCCAACTGCCACTTGCCAACCTATCAACAACAACAACAATGCTGCTGCAGCAGCAGCAGCCAGCGAACACAAGACTGGCAGTGCCTTCTCAGCCGCAGTCAGGCCACATGCCTGGGACCTCAACAATCCGAATACCTGCAGCCATGCAGCCTGTTCCGCCTGTTCCTGCTATCCCGACAGCTGTGAATGTCAAGATGCATACTCTACCATCCCAGGAAATGCAAAAAGTGCAGGCTAGGATGATGACACAGCATTCATCTGTCCCAAGGATCCAAGGCATGCCTATGGCAAGGCTCGCTGCGAAAGGTAAGAGTATGTGAAGTAAGCGAGGGGAGATTCCCTGTTAGACCCATCTCGTGTGATTGACCTATCCTGCGATGGGCCTTTTCCAGGCTCCTGGGCACCCAACTTGTTTGCGGATACACGCCCAGGTGCTTGGCCGGGCATGAACCCCAGGCTGGGTTTCGGGAAGCCCCCAGCACAAGAAAAAAAGAAAAAAAAATCCCCAAAAAAAAAAAAAAAAAATTGTGTAGATTTGCAATGTAAACGACTTTTGGCCGAGGGTCACATCGGAATTCCTCACAGAATCGAAGATAAAAAAGAAAATATGATATATCAGCTGGAGTGCTCATTTTAGCACATAAGAACACAGAGGCAGCTCACTTCATGGTAGTCACATCCACCACAGCAGATCCTTCAGGTGGTAGATGGGCCAGGCTAGACTTTTCTTACAGGGAAGAAGAGCTCACAATTATAAACATTTATGCCCCCAATTCAACGAATTGAAACGGTTTTCACCTCTTTGCAGTAGCAGACGCAGATCCCAGGGTTCGATCCCTAGACCTTGCCCTATCTGTGTACAGTACCTGTGTGGACCCCGAGAGTTGAACCTGTGACCTGTGTATTCGTAAACAGTTGGTAGGCTGTCATAGGTCCGTAGGTAGCAGGGGTTCGATCTGTAGACCTGTAGAATAGAAGTCTTAGCGAGTTCCAGAACTCTTAGCTGTCGCCCTTCTAGAAGGTCAGCAAGTGGGCAAGTGGGCAAGTGGTGAGTCAAGTGGTGGACTAAACCGCAGTGCGATTGCAGTACGACTTCGGTGGGATAGCAGTAAGTCCCCGTTCAGTCAGCGGTCAGGTCCAGTCAGTCCCAGTCCGGTCCAGCAAGTACCACGAGGGACTGTGAGCACCATGGGACGATGGCAAAGGGCAGACCAACGAGTTTCAGAAGTACAAATCAAGAGGCAGCGCCCAGCCATTCATTCATTCCTGCGTGAGCCATGCGGAAGCGCTGCCACAGCGACTTGTGCAAGGAGGTCTGCAGTGAGCCCGGAGCACAAGTGGGCGAGAGAGAAGGAGCGTAGCATAGCAATAGGGTAGTTGCGGCCATAACCGCCATAGCTAGAGTTAGTGTGTAGTTAGTGTGTGTGTGTGTGTGTGAATTCAGAGAGTCGCGTGTGGGATATCCAGGGGGATCCGGTGTATGTGAACAGTGAGTTGTTTGGGCGCTGAGTCGCTATAGCCAATTGAAAGTGAAACTCGTATCTGGATGCCATATCTCTGAGTTTTGAGTGGGCGCATGTCGCCAGTTTGCTGCGCTACTGTTTACATGCATGAAAAGTGTGAATGAAAGCGAGTCTGATTGCCCCCCCAAAGGCATACAGTCGTAGTAGGAGAGTGGAACACAGTTCAGTTCCCATACTTGGACAGGATATCCTGGGCCAATGATTCCTCTGAAGATCCTGCCACGTCAGTCCTATCCGAACTTATGGTAGAAAAAAATATAAAGGATCCCTACAGGATGCTAAATCCGTCCAAAAAAGACTACACCTGTATCAGGAAAACGTCTTAGGGAAGAACAACCTTCTCAAGAATCGACTTTTTCCTCATATCTGAAACCTTGGATGGAGCTGTCGTGGAAAGTTCTATTGGGAGGCTACCGTACTATGACGGCTTCGACCACAATCCAATCTCTATCAACCTCTCACTCTCTCTTGACAACTCCCCAGGGAGGAGTTTCTTTAAACTTAATACATCACTCCTCAATCTAGATACTTTCAGACAAAACCTATAGAGCGAATGGGCAGAATTAAGAGAAAATTTTAGGGAGGGGGAAATCCTAAATGAGCTGCCAACTGCAATCCAGCTTCTAGGAGAGTGGGCGAGCCTTTTCTCGAGGAAGGAAGCCAGAAGGAGGAGGGCAAGACAAGAAAACCTGGAAGCAATGGTAGAACTCGCAAAATTTAACCTTATTGCTAATCCAGGGGCGCCACTGTACGAACAACTCCTGGAAGAAGCCAGGGCGGAACTTAGGCAATGGGCAGACTGGAAGAGACAAGGACTAGCCATTAGAGCTAAGAGTGAGAGATTGGGAAAACAAGGAAGCCATGACGAAATTCTTCTTCCAGAGAATTAAGGCGAACCACAGGAAGAGTAGAATGCACAGCCTCAGAGGTACTCAAGGTAACCTTCAAACTACGCAAGAAGGAATGTTAAGAGTAGCCTCGGATTTCTAGCAATGCCTCTACACATCCAAAACTAATCCCGATAATGCCAATAACACACAGAAAGCAAGAGAAATTTTTTTGAAACATTTGGATAAAAGTCTTAAACAGAAAGTCATCACTTACCTAGAAAAGGACATCTCGAAGGCAGAATTCTTTGAAGCCCTCAAGAGTATGCAACCGAACAAAACCTCAGGAAGGGATGGTCTCTCGAAAGAGTTTTGGCAGAACAATTGGCACCTAATGGGTGATGCAATCACAGTTTTATTTAAGAAAACGTTCAATAGAGGCTCTCTAGGAGAAGAAATCAGCACGGGGGTGGTCATTCTACTATACAAAAAAGGGGGCAAAACAGACATAAGGAACTACAGACCTATAACCCTTCTGCCCGTGGTGTACAAAATCCTAGCCAAAGCTCTGGCAAATAGAATAAGGAACGTAACAGATAAATGTTTCCACCTTGACCAAACAGAATTCATTCCGGGAAGATACATTCTCGACAACGTGGTCTGCCTAAATGAAGCTACCAAAATTATAAAGGATAAAAAGATACAAGCAGTCGCTCTTTTCTTCGACTTTGAAAAAGCGTATGACCAAGTTAACTGGGATTTCCTACAACAAAGCATGGAAAAGATGGGGGTTGGGCCAAATTTCAGAAACTGGATAAAAGTCCTATACGGGGATGCCAGAGGGATGGTGCAAGTCAATGGTCACCTCTCAGAAACGTATAAAATGTCTAGATCGGTTAGGCAAGGGGACCCACTAGCAGCACCAATTTTCCTTTTCGTAATGGAAGCAATAGCGGCTTTCCTCCGCAAAGACCCGTCCATAGAAGACTGTCAGCCCAACACGATGGAAAGTTGCTCCCCATCCCCACGGTGATGCTTTTTGCGGACGACCTCACGGTACTTATCAGAGTGTCGGATTTGTCCTTTTTAGCACTCACGAAAGCAATGCAAGCCTTTCAGTTAGCATCGGAAATGAAGATCAATTGGAATAAAACAGCAGGTTGGTGGTTGTCTTCGTCTGACCCCCCTCCCCCAATCCCAAGATACCCGCGGACTACAGTGGTTGGACGCGCAGCACCTGGTGCGTTTCCTGGGTATCCAAGTGTCAGTAAATGGAACCAGCGAGACCTCAGGTTCCAGCCTTCTGGTTAAGATGACAAACAAACTAGCAGGGTGGCAAGCAACGAGTGTCTCACTCATAGGGAGGGTCCTCGTACTCAAACTTCGATACTTTCCACGGGCTGGTATGTGGCATCCCTTTGGAATCCCCCCATAAGTTTCTTCACCACCCTCAAGAGGAATTTAGGAGCTTATCTCTGGACAGGAGATGCGGCCAAGGACAAATATATTACCAAAGTAGCCTGGAAGTATGTTACCAGACCAAACGCACTAGGAGGGTTTGGCCTGTTAAACCCAACAGCCCAATTCCAAGCACTGCAATTAAAGTGGGTAATCAAGCTGTTATTTAACAGAGAACTACCATGGCACAACATGGCCCTTCATCAAATTTGCAACCTAGTACCATTCAAAGTAGATCCTACCATAGAAGGTTATCACTGGATCCTCAACCCAACATGGAGTCCTAGACGTAAAGAAAACAGCAGGCTGACAGATGGAAGGGACCCGCCCAGCGAACACTGGTGCACTCTGATTTCGCACTGGAGAGCATGCTTTCCCCAAAAAGTCAGATCCCACAGACCAGGGAGGAAGTGTTGAGACAGCCCCTTTTCGGAAACCCCTTGCTAAAAGACAAAAACCAAACGCCTTGGCCCCGAAACTCCAAAGGTAGGAAGTGGAAAAATGGATTGGCAATGGAGTTTGGAAGGTCGATCATTTATGGAATTTGGAAGAAAATAGATGGAAGACAGACCAAGAACTTAGAGCCAAATTAAAAGGCGTACACAACCTAAAGGAACAACTTGAAAGCATACTGGAAAGTGTCCCCCTGAAATGGGAATTATTACTAATTCCAAGACCAAATGGTCAGTAGGAGACTCGGCCACAAAAAAGGGGCCAGCCCTTCTGACCGAAGGGTACAAACTAATCAAGGTACTAGACATGGAAGAAGGTAGGGCGGAATTTGAGTCCTTTGAACTGTTAGATGCGCACAAAACCTGGGCAAAACCAGGCAAAGCAACTGAGCAAAGGGCAATAATTGAACTCAAAAACCTTAACAAGGTCAGAACATGCTCACCCAGACTCAGTCGTAAAAGGACTTCACTTAACGACCAAGGCCAGAAGAAAGCCTGGATCTATAGGCCCGACCAGGACATAAAAGACTTAGAGATCCAGCGAAATGGGGTTGGTTCATTCCCTGGGGAGAGGCACTAGAAAGCTCACACCGATCTATGACTATGAAGTCAAAGCAGGATATAGGCTAAGAAATCAAATACAGATTATTACAGCGAGATGGAAGAAAAATGTGGGAGAAAATGCAGGATGGGTGGGCAAAATTCATGGAACCGGTATGCCAGCATAAAACCGCCAAGGATCAGAAGTCTGCAATGGCTAATAATCTATTGGGCTGTTCCAGTCAACCAATGGTTAGGCAAAAGAAGGAAGCAAGAGGAGCATCAGCAACAACTGGAGTGGTGCAAAATGTCCAGTGAGAACGTTGAAGAATTGCTGATACATTGCTTTATACACTGCCAACGTGCCCAAGAACTCTGGGAGAGAACGAAATCTTTGTGGGTCAACCTAACGGATCATGCCTACCCCTTAAATACGACTTATTTGCTGTCAGTGAGGATAGAAGAAAAAGACCTTGAAGAGGAAGAAATTATCCTAGCAGACCTTC